TGTGCGTGTGTACGTGTGCAATGTGTGTGGGTGTGTGTGTATGTGCGTGTGTACGTGTGCAATGTGTGTGGGTGTGTGTAGGCATGCGTGTGCTTGTATACGTGTGCATGTGTGTGGGTGCGTGCATGTGCGTGTGTACGTGTGTATGTGTGTGGGTGTGTGTATGTGTGTGCATGCGTGTGCGTGTGTACGTGTGCAATGTGTGTGGGGCCATAATAAAAATATTGTTTGTTTGCCCTCACCCGACCGACCCGCCAAAAAGGGGCCGACTCAAAAATGTTTATTGAGCTTTCTCATTCTTTTTTTTTTACAAATTGTATTGCTGTACATTATATAAATCTGTAGGCAATACATTATATGAAGAGTACATAATCTCTATTATGTACTCTTGATTATATGTACTAAGCAAAACAAACATTCAACATAAAAGGTATCTCCACACAAGCACACCTGAGCATGTAGACACCATGCTGAATTTGTAAAAAAGACCCCTTTCAAAAAAGTCTACCTACCTACCCAAACATTTTAGCCTGGCTCGGGTGAGGGCAAACAAAGATTTTTTTAATTGTGGCCTGGTTGCATGCGTGTGCGCGTGTACGTGTGTATGTGTGTAAGCGTGCGTGTCACTGTGCGTGTGTACGTGTGCATGTGTGTGGGTGCATGCGTGTGCGAGTGTACGTGTGCATGTGTGTGGGTGCATGCGTGTACGTGTGTATGTGTGTAGGCATGCATGTGCGTGTGTACGTGTGCATCACCCATGTGTGTGGGTGTATGTAGGCGTGTGTGGGTGCATTGTAGCCGAGTGTTAACGTTCACTTGTTTCGATGCAGCCAAATGTTAGCATTCACTTGTTTCGTTGCAGCCAAGTGTTACCGTTTACTTGTTTCATCCCATTCTAGTATTAGCGTTCACTTGTTTTGTCCCGTCCGTCTATTTTCGCTTACGTGGTTCGCTGCATGCAACCTACTATTAGCGTTCACTTGTTTCGCTGCAGGCGAGCGTAAGCGTTCACTTGTTTCGTTGCAGCCGAGTGGATTCATGGAGGAGCCGATAGCTTACACTTCTATTGAGGATGTTCATGTCATCTCCCGCTGGGATGCCGGACAAAAGTTCTGCTTGAGGATAACCATCCCAGACGGCTCTCTTCTCTTACAGGTAGGAACCCCTCCTCCAGCCTCTCCCTATCCTCTCTCCCCTCCCTCGCCCTTCTCCCTCACTCTCCCTCACCTCCCTCTCCCTCGCCTCTCCCTCCCTCACCTCCCCCTCCCTCACCTCCCTGCCTGAGGATAGCCATCCCTTGGATGTGGTGGTGGCATTGTTGTTGTGGTGGTGTTGTTGTTGTTGTTGTTGTTGTTGTTGTTGTTGTTGTTGTTGTTGTTGTTGTTGTTGTTGTTGTTGTTGTTGTTGTTGGTGGTGTTGTTGTCATTGTTGTTATTAATAGAGGTGACGGTGTTGTCGTTGTCATTGTTGTTGTTGTTATTAATAGAGGTGACAGTGTTGTCGATGTCGTTGTTGTTGTTGTTGTTGTTGTTGTTGTTGTTGTTGTTGTTGTTGTTGTTGTTGGTGGTGGTGGTGTTTTTTTGATATTGTTGGTTTTTTCATTTTTGTCGTTGTTGTAGTGATTGTTGTTGTTGCTGTTGCTGCTGCTGCTGTCATCGTCATCATCATTGCTATTGTAATGTGGTGTGTTCGTACGTGCACGTGCGTATAAGCACGGGAGCTGTTACGATATTCGAGCAGCTTAGAAAAACCTAGAAACATTTTTCTCATCGCGATTTTATTGAAAATGAAGTAGCGAACAAATTAGCTGGCTATTGTGTGCGAGCTTCCATTGTGTGAAACTGCTCCTTGTCTTAGATTGGTTACCAGGTTCGCTCCTCTTAGGATTTTTAATGCGATGAAAATTCAAAGTATCCGAAAATTTTATCCCAAGTTGTGAACAGAAATTGCGTAAGTACTTTCGAAGGTCGTTATAATTTTTGCGAGGAATAATCTGAATAATCGCAGGTTCTAAGCTGTTAAGCTCGTAGCTGGCTGATATGTCTTGCCCTCGATGGTGGGTGCATGCGTGTGTATGTATGTGTACGTGTGCGTGTGTGTGGGTGCATGTAGGCATGCGTGTGCGTGACGTATGTGTTCAATGTGTGTGGGTGTGTGTAGGCATGCGTGTGTGTGTACGTGTGTGGGTGCATGCGTGCGCGTGTGTACGTGTGCATGTGTGTGGGTGCATGCGTGTGTACGTGTGTATGTGTGTGGGTGTGTGTAGGCATGCGTGTGTACGTGTGCATGTGTGTGGGTGTGTGTATGTACGTGTGTACGTGTGCAATGTGTACGTGTGCATGTGTGTGGGTGTGTGTGTATGTGTGCAATGTGTGTGGGTGTGTGTAGGCATGCGTGTGCGTGTAGACGTGTGCATGTGTGTGGGTGTGTGTGTATGTGCGTGTGTACGTGTGCATGTGTGTCGGTGCATGCGTGTGCGTGTGTGCGTGTGCAGGCATGCGTGTGCGTGTGGACGTGTGCATGTGTGTGGGTTCGTGCGTGTGCGTGTGTACGTGTGTACTATGTGTGTGGGTGTGTGTAGGCATGCGTGTGCGTGTGTACGTGTGCAATGTGTGTGGGTGTGTGTGTATGTGCGTGTGTACGTGTGCAATGTGTGTGGGTGCATGCGTGTGTACGTGTGCATGTGTGTGGGTGTGTGTGTATGTGCGTGTGTACGTGTGCAATGTGTGTGGGTGTGTGTAGGCATGCGTGTGCTTGTATACGTGTGCATGTGTGTGGGTGCGTGCATGTGCGTGTGTACGTGTGTATGTGTGTGGGTGTGTGTATGTGTGTGCATGCGTGTGCGTGTGTACGTGTGCAATGTGTGTGGGGCCATAATAAAAATATTGTTTGTTTGCCCTCACCCGACCGACCCGCCAAAAAGGGGCCGACTCAAAAATGTTTATTGAGCTTTCTCATTCTTTTTTTTTTACAAATTGTATTGCTGTACATTATATAAATCTGTAGGCAATACATTATATGAAGAGTACATAATCTCTATTATGTACTCTTGATTATATGTACTAAGCAAAACAAACATTCAACATAAAAGGTATCTCCACACAAGCACACCTGAGCATGTAGACACCATGCTGAATTTGTAAAAAAGACCCCTTTCAAAAAAGTCTACCTACCTACCCAAACATTTTAGCCTGGCTCGGGTGAGGGCAAACAAAGATTTTTTTAATTGTGGCCTGGTTGCATGCGTGTGCGCGTGTACGTGTGTATGTGTGTAAGCGTGCGTGTCACTGTGCGTGTGTACGTGTGCATGTGTGTGGGTGCATGCGTGTGCGAGTGTACGTGTGCATGTGTGTGGGTGCATGCGTGTACGTGTGTATGTGTGTAGGCATGCATGTGCGTGTGTACGTGTGCATCACCCATGTGTGTGGGTGTATGTAGGCGTGTGTGGGTGCATTGTAGCCGAGTGTTAACGTTCACTTGTTTCGATGCAGCCAAATGTTAGCATTCACTTGTTTCGTTGCAGCCAAGTGTTACCGTTTACTTGTTTCATCCCATTCTAGTATTAGCGTTCACTTGTTTTGTCCCGTCCGTCTATTTTCGCTTACGTGGTTCGCTGCATGCAACCTACTATTAGCGTTCACTTGTTTCGCTGCAGGCGAGCGTAAGCGTTCACTTGTTTCGTTGCAGCCGAGTGGATTCATGGAGGAGCCGATAGCTTACACTTCTATTGAGGATGTTCATGTCATCTCCCGCTGGGATGCCGGACAAAAGTTCTGCTTGAGGATAACCATCCCAGACGGCTCTCTTCTCTTACAGGTAGGAACCCCTCCTCCAGCCTCTCCCTATCCTCTCTCCCCTCCCTCGCCCTTCTCCCTCACTCTCCCTCACCTCCCTCTCCCTCGCCTCTCCCTCCCTCACCTCCCCCTCCCTCACCTCCCTGCCTGAGGATAGCCATCCCAGATGGCTCCCTTCTCTTACAGGTAGGAACCCCTCCCCCAGCCTCTCCCTATCATCTCTCCCCTCCCTCGCCTCCCCCTCCTCGCCTTCCCTTATCCCCCCTCCCCTAGCAGCCTCTCTCATGCTAGCAGCCTCTCTCACGCTAGCTAGCAGCCTCTCTCACGCTAGCAGCCTCTCTCACGCTAGCAGCCTCTCTCATGCTAGCAGCCTCTCTCACGCTAGCAGCCTCTCTCACGCTAGCAGCCTCTCTCATGCTAGCAGCCTCTCTCACGCTAGCAGCCTCTCTCATGCTAGCAGCCTCTCTCACGCTAGCAGCCTCTCTCATGCTAGCAGCCTCTCTCACGCTAGCTAGCAGCCTCTCTCACGCTAGCAGCCTCTCTCACGCTAGCAAGCCTCTCTCATGCTAGCAGCCTCTCTCACGCTAGCAGCCTCTCTCATGCTAACAGCCTCTCTCACGCTAGCTAGCAGCCTCTCTCATGCTAACAGCCTCTCTCACGCTAGCAGCCTCTCTCACGCTAGCAGCCTCTCTCATGCTAGCAGCCTCTCTCACGCTAGCAGCCTCTCTCATGCTAGCAGCCTCTCTCATGCTAGCAGCCTCTCTCACGCTA